AGGGAAAAAAAAAGGTGCTAGGTTATCCGTAGCAAATGCAGCTATCAGAGTTGGTTATTCGTAGTACTCTGGTTTAACGCATGCATTAGAACCATTTTAGGGTGAGTCTGCACTAAAAATTGTTTTCCAGTCCTGGTAGCCATACATATTTTTGTGTTCTTTAAGTGCATAATCAGAATGTACATTTTAATCTGTATTAAATTATTTTTTTGAGGAATGGAGATTTGATAATTGGACTGGCTATAGTTAGGTGTTCTGCAAGAGGATTTTCTGGAATTCTTTACCATAAGCTTGGCAGTGGTGACTTTTTTCAGTTCCTGATTTTCTGAGACCTACCTGTTAGGTACCTTTATTTTGACATGTGGGCTGTAAGTGCAGTCTCCAAATAAGGCCAATGTTTTCAAAACCATCCCAGTATAAAGCCCAATGCAAGTATTTGTTCTCTTTTCCCTGTATGGTGTGTTATATACAAGATTGTTCAGTAGCTCGTTAATAACCCTAAGTGTTTACACTGAATTCTAAGGACAGATTGGTGTTTAATTGTGTAACTGTGATCTGGTTATTTTGGTTACATACAGACCCGAATGCAGTGTATTGGGGCAGTGTGTTGCCCTGGTCCATGGGATAACTTGGAACAGGCAGTAGAGTTAGAGCAGTCTTCATGCTGTAATACAAGAGGTTCTTTAAACTTAAGTGACAAGAACTGCAGAATTGTAACTGAGGTGTTTGACTCTTGGAAAGAATAGCGTAACGGCAGCCATGTAAGTTAGCGTAGGTAAATATTTTATCAGTTTTGTTTTAAATTTCCACAACATACGTCTTTTAATTAGATAACATGCAAGTAAAAATCTATTTTAAAATACCCTGTGGCAAATATCTTTATAGCTGTATCTGTTGTTCTTTTTTCTTATTGTTTTTGCTTTGTTTTAGAGTTCCTGCCTGCAAGCAGTGTCAATAGGCTGGGAAGGAGGTGTTTATGTGCAAACTTGTGGCCACACTTTACACATAGATTGTCACAAATCTTATATGGAATCTTTACGGGTAAGTAACACTAAAGATCATATTTTTTTAGTTGGATCTGAACTGTTCTAAGTGAAATCAATTGTATTTATGCTGTTCAGTTCAGAGAAAGATCTGGTTTACACAAATTAACAAAATGTTAGTATTTCAAGAACTGTGGATACTAAATCTCTTACTACATCTTGGCATTGTTAACAAAAGTACTTTGCTTTCATTTATCTTGATATATTAGAAAAATACTTGACTAAAGTAATCCTGTTCTTTAAAAAGTAAATAACTCTTTTGGTTGGTTGGTTGGTTTTCTGTGTGCATCTTCAGGTAAAGCATTTATTACACTTACTTCTGTTTCACAGATTCCTGTTTTGGTGTTTAACCTGTTAGAAATTACGGAGAAACTGAATTAAAATGAGACGGGAGACTTACAAATACAAATTTGTGCTTTTGGTTAATTTCAAATACGCAAATTCAGTTACAAAAGTAAACATTTTTGATTCTAGTATAGTTGTGTATATACGTATATATGTGTATATCTAGTTTAGAGAAAGTAGTTAAAATAACTTAACTCCTGTGAATTACGTTTTTTATTTTTTCCCTGGAAAATACTGTTGGGAAATACTGCTCTGTCTGATTTTAGAATAGTTAGTCAAGCCTCAGAAATTGTTGGCTAGAAAAGACATCCATTGATTTTCACATGGACTGAGTAAACAGGGCGATATTGATGTTGCTGGCCCTCCTTCACCCCCTCGACCTCTTGCAGGTCAGTTTTAGATCTCCTGACCTGCACTCCAGAATGTTACCACAAGCTCAGCAGCGGCAGAAGTCGTCAGATTTTAAGCAGTCGTTTCTTTCTGTATTATTTTGTGCAATACAGTAAAAACTAAATGATTTGTTGTATGTGGAGCTGCTTTTTTAGTCAAGATTACTTCAAGTGATTTTTAAGCTTGTTTTTTTCACAAGCTTTCCATTTTGAGAAAAACTATGAGCAATGCTGAGTACTTTCTAGTGTCAGCATTGGTCATGCTGTGAAATCTACCTCGAGAGAAATTGGAAGCTGTGCCACCCTCATTGGATCTGATGATGAGGAGTTGTTCTTTTCCTGACTGTAAAGATGCTTTCAGGGGTGATTGTGTCATCAAGATTAATTAGTAAAATCTGGGATTTCATGGCAGAATCTCATTTTACAGAATTTTGGGAAAGAAGTCTTGCCTCTTACAGACACTGAAGCCCCTTTTCTGGTGGATTCTCACTTAAACCTGAATAAACTGTTATCCATCTCATTGTATTCTTGAAGATTTCAAGATTTTTTAAGTGAACTTGTGATCCTAGTATGTATTACTACTACCCAGATGAGAGCGTAATAATTTTGACTATTCCTGGAATACTTAGTACCACAATAGTAGACTTGTGTTCATCTGGAGAAAACATGTATTTTTATGTCATACAATGAGAGATCAACATCCAGAAGAGTGTGTAACAGTAGGCTCAGCAGAATGCGTCAGCATTCCGGGCTGATTGCTTGGAGTTCCATTTATAGTCACTATTAACTTAGCAGGTCTCTTCTCCCGGGAGTGGGAAGCCATGAAGCCAATTCATGAAGCTGAAGCAAGGTTGCTTGCTGGTAACTGGGGTACTGGGGAGATGTCCCCACTTCCCAAACATGTACTTGTGTGTCCTTTTTTTGATCCTTGGTGATAAAGAAGAAACGATCAGGGTTTTTGTCACACCACCCTCCAATGGCTACTTGATTGGGTTTTTCAGCCTGTACTGCTTGTGAGAAATGCCTTCAAATATTTCTCATGACTGAAAACAGAATTGCCTTTTGATACATTAAAAGATCTTATCAAGAGCGTCTCAAACTTTATGGCACTTGCTAGAAAGAGACAACACCTGTGAAATGTTCAAAATACACCATTGCAGTATTTCTGGCTTACTGTGGGGATATTGTTAACAGTGGAGATACTTAGGAAAATTAAGTGAGTTGGAGGATTGTAACAGAGTCTCTAGTACTTAAGACCTTTTGTACTAAAATGAGGAGCTATTCCAATTATTCTTTCTTTACAGTTCTTTGTTTTAACTGAGTCCTTTAGCCGTACAACTGAAATATCAAACTAAATATTGTCTTCTGCAAATTTCAGCTACATCTTCTTTATTTTCTCCTAGAATGACCAGGTCCTCCAGGGTTTTTCAGTGGATAAAGGAGAATTTACCTGTCCCCTCTGTAGGCAGTTTGCTAACAGTGTTCTTCCTTGTTATCCTGGAAACAACGTGGAAAGAAGCCTTTGGCAAAACCAGAGTAACAAGTGTATGCAAGACCTGGTACAAGAGGTGGAAGATCTCCAAGAGCAGCTGGGAACTTTCCCAGTAAGCATCAGTGTAAGGCAGAAAGATCCTTGTTAATTTGCCTCTACCTTTCAGTCTTTACAATATGTTGAATTTGTGACCTCTTTGAAACTCGACAACCTGGGAAACTTCATTTTCTGCTGTCATGGAAGATAGCAAACTACTTCTTTATAGATCAAGAAATTTTAGATAGATAGATAGATAGATAGATAGATAGATAGATAGATACAGCACTTACTGCATTACTGACTAAAACAGCTAAAAAGCTGTGATAAAACGTGATTAAAACAATTTTTATGGAGTACGTTTTCACCTCTTTCATAGTAATTTACATAGAATTGAGTAATGTAATATAAAATTCATTTATCATTTCTTTACAATGTAAAAACACCAATAACCTTTTAACTGGAAGCTACTTAAAGAATGTCTGCTAAGAACATTTTAAGGTAGGATTTATTTGTTTTAGAGCAGTTTGCAGGTACTCGGGTATTGTAAAGCTTCATGAGGTCTGTTTGAATGGTAGAATTAATTCTGTTGAATTTTTCTAGCCTTCCAGTCTTGATGCAGATGCGTTGTTTTACTTTCTTGTACTTGTACAATGCAGTTCCTTGTACAAAAATTTTACGTAACGCAAGCAATGTAGTTCTTGAACTTGGGAGATGGACAAAACAGTAACGTATATATTCAGAATTCAGAATATTATAACAGTTCTGTGAGACAGAGTATTGGCTTTTAATGCATATTTTTCCATAACCTGCACATGTGCTTTTATAAATGTGAAAGTGCTACGCTTTGCGATCGGCTGCTGCGTTTCTTCAGGGAAAATTAACTCATCTTTTGTGTCTTTGTTCCTAGTCTGAAACCAATCTCAGTAAAGAAATGGAATCTGTAATGAAAGACATCAAAAGTACCACACAGAAGAAGTACACAGATTACAGTAAGACTCTGGGATCACCTGACAATGATTTTCTGTTTATGTACTCGGTAGCCAGGTGAGTATGCTTTTCTTTCCATATATTTTCTTTTGTTTCTCACTAATAGTATTGCTCACCAGATATATTTTTGTTTAAGAAGGAGAAAACTTAAGAAAGAGTCCCTCCTTTCCAAAAAGTACTCATTGAGCACTTAGTGCATCAAGGTTACATTTTGTTACGCAGGCATACACAAGGTGGAAGGACGTGCTTCTCCATTCAGTTTAGTACATGCAGCAGGCACACAAACCTGGAGAACGTTTTGTCTTATGCTTATTTAGTTTTCTTATTTTTCAAAGGTTTTGCTTTCCCATATAGCAAAATCCTATGTTGAATTTCCTTTTCTACCTTATCCTAAACTGTCAAATCTTCTCTACTACTATTTAGCAGAATGAGGTTGTTTCTGTATCACTGCCAATTGGTGGGTTTTAAAGCACAGAGTGATTTAATCTCTGTCAGATGTCCGTTTTATTTACTTAAATGGGAATCTCGGAAGAAGCCTTTTCTACATCAGCAACCAGGAATCTCTCTCCATGTGAATAAGACTTCTAAAAAAGTGTCAGAACTGCCAGAATTTTCTCTGTGATGTTTGATTCCAGTTTTATAGCTGTCCAGACACCAGTGTCAGAGACACCATCTCCACTCCCTCCTACTCTCTGTACCATTGATGTTAAGATGCTCTGAATAGTTAATTTGTTCAGATTTACTGTAATGCAGGGTTTTCCCATAAGAAGGGGTTTAAATACTCATTAAGCAGATAATTTTCTAAACTGACTGACTGAGGCCTGCAGGGAAGGTGCAGAGAAAGTGCAAGCATACAAGTAGTATCATCCAGCAGCATCGTTTTACTGCAGCTTCATAAACTCCAGTTGCTGAGTGTCTTTAGTGTAGAAGCACTGGAAATATTCAGTACTTGG